AGGGGAGCTGCCCGCAGCAGTGGGTAAGCGAAGCGCCGGTGGACGGACCGGGTTCTCTTTGCCTTTGAAACGCACGGAGGTTGCGCGCGTTGGGGGCGGGCAGGTGCTGAGTTGGGGGCTGCGAGATGAGGTGCTGGCCTGGGCGTGTGGGCCCCGCAGGGACCCGAGCAGCAGAGGGCACCCGGTGTGGTCAGCCAGGCCACATTCTTGGAGAGGCTTGCATCAGGCTGACCTTTGGGAAACGTCCCCTGACCCTCGAAGGATCATTGAAAAACAGAATGAACACATGAACGTGGCCCCCAAAACCCAGCCTCTAAACGGGGAGACTTCTCCCGAGCCTGCGGGGCAGTATTTCATCTGGGGCAGGAGGCGCCCCATTCATGGGCCTGGCCCACCCTCACAAAGAACGCATGCCCAGGTGCCCCCCCAAATCACAGCGACCCAGACCCAACATATAATGGAAATGTGCATGGGGCCGGTTCTGCCCCCAGGGCCTCCCTGACAGGTGTCCCCGCCCTGCCCTGCGGGTCCTTGGTAAGGGGGGGCGGTGGACGGGAACCAACAGCATTGAGCCCATTGGCGATCGAGTGTAAGTGGGGACGCGCCTTCGTTAACGCCCGGCCGGTGTGGCTCAGTGGTTGAGCGTTGAACTATGAACCTGGAGGTCACGGTTCGATTCCCAGTCAGGGCACATGCCCGGGTTGTGGGCTCCATCCCCCGTGGGGGGCGTGCAGGAGGCAGCTGATCCGTGATTCTCTCCCTCTCCCTTCCTCTTTCTGAAATTAATTTAAAAAATAAAAAATGAGTGCTGTTGCTGCAACGCGGAGGTGGCAGCTGCAGCTCAGAGCGTGGAGGTCACGTGCTCCGTGCTGGTCAGGGCAGCCGAGCTGCAGTTCCAGGTCAGGCCCGGCCGCCTGGCGGGTCTGAACTGATTTGTCTGCTTTTTCACGCAAGTGCCGCTCCCCCGTCTCCCAGGCGGTTTGAGAACAGATCCTTTAGAGGTGGAGTGGCTTTAGGGTCTCACGTCTCACACCTGATTCTTGGAGAGGAGCCTGAGGCTTGAAGGAGACCACAGGTGTGATGGAGGGCGGGGTCCTGTTGGGGCCAGGCTGGGAGTGAACTCAGTGGACACAGGTTGTGTTGGGGGACCTCTTCGTCCGTAAAACCAGCAGGACGCACCCCCTCTCGTGGACTTACTGTGAAGGTCCCATGTCTGACTTGGCATTTAAGCTGAAACCTGGTCTGTGTGGGGCTTGCTAATTGGATTAGATAATGAGTTAGGCCCCCCAAATGCATTTCTGGAGATTTCCCTGGAAACTACGAGTTTGGGCTGACAGCACACCCGATTCCTTTTAGGGCCAGTGGTTCTCAACCTCCTGGCCCTTTAAGTACCGCTCCTCATGTGGTGACCCAACCATAACATTATTTTCGTTGCTACTTCATCACTGTAATGCTGCTACTGTTATGAATGGTAATGTAAATATCTGATATGCAGGATGGTCTTAGGTGACCCCTGTTCCATCGCCAAAGGGGTCGAGACCCACAGGTTGAGAACCGCTGCCTTAGGCCCTGGTACCATGACTGCCCATGCGCCCCTCCCTCTGCTCCCCCCCCCCCACACACACCTGTGGGCACTGCGCACAGCAGGGGACTGAGGACGGGAAGGACCTGGCCCTGGAGGCGGGAGTGACAGGTGAAGAGCGGGGTGCTGGTGGGTCCCGCCCTCACCCACCCCCACATTCTCCCAGGAGATCCCCGACAGTCATTTGCCATCATTTGCCTCGCAGGCTGCATGGCAGAATCAGGTGGAGATTTTAAAAAACAAGTAGCTATGACCCAGCCCTCGCCAATTTGTGGAAATAGAAGCCAAACTTCTTTTAAAAGCGCTGGGGCTCGCAGGTGTCTGGTGGATGAGGGCCGTCCGGAATCGCTGCGCTGCCCCTGTGGTCAGCGCGCTGCAGGCCCTGACCTCCTCTGTCCTCTCTAGCCTGGGGCTCTGGACCCTCCCCCTGCTTTCGGGGCGGCTCTGGGCCCCCGACCCCCACTGCCCTCTCCCGCCCAGGGCTCTGGACCCTCCCCCTGCTTTCGGGGCGGCTCTGGGCCCCCGACCCCCACTGCCCTCTCCCGCCCGGGGCTGTGGACCCTCCCTGCCCCTGCTTTGGGGGCAGCTCTCAGCCCTCCGACCCCCACTGCCCTCTCCAGCCCGGGGCTGTGGACCCTCCCTCTCCCCTGCTTTGGGGGCGGCGCTGTGCTCTGCATGGGTAGTTTGTACAGCCGGCTGGCTTCTTTACTCTGCTCTCCGTCCGCACACAGGCCGGTACAGGCACCAGGTGCAGGCTCCGCGCACCTCACTCGCGTCACCTGCCATTTATCCTCCCAGTCCCCGCTACCACTGGGCCACACTGGCCAGGCCGTAAGTCTGGTATTGCTGAGTCCAGCTTGCTAATATTTTGTTATTTTTGCATCAAGGATATTGGCCTGTAATTTTCTTTTTTTTTTTTTTTGGTCATGTCTTTATCTGGTTTGGCTATCGGAGCAATGCTGGCTTCCTAGGATGATGAGGAAGCATTCCTTCCTCTTTGATTGTTCTTGAAGTCATTTAAGGATAGGGATTAATTCTTTAAAAGTTTGGTGGAATTCATCTGTGAAGTCGTCTGGCCCCGGGCTTTTGTTTGCTGGGAGTTTTTGTGATTTCTGCTTTAATTTCATGACTAGTCAACAGTCTGTTCAGATTTTCTATTTTTTCCTGGTTCAGTCCTGGGCGGTTATATGCTTCTAGAAAAACTGAATTTGTTGGCATCCTTAACGTTTTATATTTTCTGTGGTATCATATGTCACTTCTCTCGTTTATGATTTTATTTGGGGTCTTTTATTCTTAATGAGTTTGGCTAAAGGTTTGTCAATTTTGAATTTTGTTTCTTTTCAAAGAACCAGCTGTAAGTTTTATTGATCTTTTTCTTTTGTGGGGGGGGGTTGTTCTTTTTCTAGTTCCTTTAGTTGTAAACTTAGATTGTTTGGGATTTTTCTTGTTTCTTGACGTGTATAGCTATGAACTTCCCTCTTAGAACTGCTCTTACTGCATCTGTAAATTTTGAAAAGTTATTTCATTTGTCTCATGGTAGTTTTTTTATTTCCTAATTGATTTTGATTGCTTATTCAAGTACTCAATAGGGTCTGTAACCCAAAAAGGTTGTGACTTATTAGTCTACATCCTTTTCCAAGACTTTTATACATCAATGCACTGCTGTGAAATGGTTCTAGAACAGCGGTTCTCAACCTGTGGGTTGCGACCCCTTTGGGGGTCAAACGACCCTTTCACAGGGGTCGCCTAAGACCATCAGAAAACATGTATATAATTACATACTGTTTTTGTGATTAATCACTATGCTTTAATGCTGTTCAATTTGTAACAATGAAATTGGGGGTCACCACAACATGAGGAACTGTATTAAAGGGTCGCAGCATTAGGAAGGTTGAGAACCACTGTTCTAGAATATAAATGACTCGGGTCACTTACACAATTTATATTGAATAACCGGTTACATTTAAATCCGTGCTGTTGTTTACCCGAGCTGCATAACCTGACCTTATTTCAAACCTCTTTTTCTCAACAGATAAAATATTTTGACAAAAGAAGAGACTACTTAAAATTTAAAGAGAAATTTGAAGCAGGCCAGTTCCAGCCTTCAAACACCTCTGCCAAGTCCTAGGCTGCCCTGGCCTCTCCGAAAGGTAGACCCTTCTTTCTGGACATTTCCCAGTGCCCCATGGACTGTGGGAGCTGGTAGACATCAGTGCTTCTGCATATGTGACTTAATAATGAAAGTGATCAGACAGTGGTATGAAACATGCTTAGTTTTAATTTAGTAAGAAATCTATTTTAAGAAGAAAATTAAAGCCTATTTTAAAAATACATGTAGCTATTTTTTTGGTTAGAGGATGGCACTAGGCAAATATTGTAGATACTGAAAAAACAGGTTGTTATATGTGTCCTAGGAGTGCCCATTTTAATGGAGGCACACACCAAAAAATGGTGATCGGGAGAACTTAAACTAGACAACTAAAATAATAGAGACTGTCTACAAACAGCTTAGCTAATATACTTAGTGATGGCACAAGGAGTGATTTTTCCCCAAAATCAGTAACAAGGTAGGGATGTCCCCTCTCACTTCTATTCACTAAGAAAAAAAAATAGTTTCTAGGAAAGAAATGATCTTTTAAAAATAGTTTTATCTCCACAATTGCTTAAAACATTTTACTAAAGAAGCAATACAATTTAGCTAAATATGTTTATTAAAGAGGACAACACATAGTAATATGTTTAAGGCACATGAAAAAGTTTGGCATTAAGTTATAAGGAAAAAACACAAATTATTTCAGAATTTGTTTCATTTGTCCAAATACTTTTTAACTGTTTCAATAGCACCGACAACTCTCAGAGTGTGGGACCTCACGCCTGGGTGCCCCCTCGCCTGCGCAGGTGCTGCCGGGCATATTCCCAGATGAGCAGGGCTCCACTCACGTGGACGTTGAGCGAGCGGGTGATGCCCTGCTGAGGGATTTCCACACACACGTCCAGCTGCTGGATCAGGTTGGCAGGGATTCCTTCACGCTCATTTCTGGTGAAAGGGGAGAAGAAAGGTTACTTTCCTTGTAATAACCGGTATTTTCTCAGACATTCAGAGTGTTAACATTCAGAATGTCTGAGAAAATACCGGTTAACTGGGAGAAAGGGAAATGAGGATAAAAAGCGTATGGGCAATCCTGGGGTCCCCTGAGCACCCCACAGGTGAAGTAAGTGAAAGGTAGGGGGCTTCCCATGAGCATCAGGTCGAGTGCAGGTGGCGGCAGGTGCCGTGTGAGGGTCCAATAAACTACGGTTTCTGAACCGTTTTCTGGCTGAGCTGGGAGGAGGTTCTCACCCCAGCAGCAGCAGCGACCTCTCCGGGAAGCAGTACTGGGTCAGGGCCGTGCTCCGGGCCGTCTGCTCCACACCGATGACCGTGTAGCCCTCCGCCTGCTTCCGCCTCAGGTAGGCCGCCAGCTGCGGTGGCTTTACCTTCACACCCATTTAAAAGAGCAGAGAGTGAGTCGTTCAGTCACGGCCCTGCTAAGAGTAAAATCAGTTCTAAAAACTTACTAAACTGAGCTTGCTTAAGTCTTTTAAAAAAGATTATACACTATAAACAAGAACTCCCCCAACAGCATAGAAATGTATGAAAATGACTCCTATACCAGCAAGGCATGTTTTCCTGAAAGGAATCCTACATGATTTCTAAAAACACAGTCACGTGGAAGATGGTAAAGGAACAGGAGAACAGCATTGGGCTGCATTTACTTTAGTGTTAAAGGCCGGACTACTGTAAATTACTGCAAAGGGGCCGATACACGAAGATGGAGACCTACAGACTGAGCCAATCAACTGGAACAGTGAGTCACTGCCACCCACCTCCACCAGAGGCAGCCACTGCTCCGCCGAGACGCTGAGCTGCTGGAACTGCTTGTCGCTGACGCACTGAAGGCTGCCGACCACCAGCGCTGCCGCCCCGAACACCTCGCAGGTGCGGCACAGGCCTGCGGAGCAAGCGGGCATCACTGTCCGCAGCACGAGGCTGAGCGCACTGTGTCCCCCACTCCGTGGCCTCCCACAGCGGGTCACGCCTGGAAGGCAGCCCATACGGCCGTGCGCTGACTGACCGACCGTTTGCAGGATCTAGAGCAGGGGTCCTCAAACTTTTTAAACAGGGGGCCAGTTCACTGTCCCTCAGACTGTTGGAGGGCCGGACTATAGTTAAAAAAAAAAAAACTATGAACAAATTCCTATGCACACTGCACATATCTTATTTTGAAGTAAAAAAACAAAACGGGAACAAATACAATATTTGTATTTGCATGTGGCCCGCGGGCCGTAGTTTGAGGACCCCTGATCTAGAGTCTAAGCGAGCCCCCGACACACGGCTACCTCCTAGGTTGGTGGGCTTGTCGATGAGGGAGGCCACGACGATCAGGTGGCTGATGGCCTTGCCGAGCTTGGCAGCGCGATCCTGAAACGCCAGCTCCAGGTCGGCATCGGGAGTAGCGTGTCTCCACGGGATTACCTTCTTCTGAACGTCAGTCCACTCGGATTGGTTGTCTGCTTCACCCGAGTGAGAGCCTGGGCAGGAAAGAATCCCCTATGGAAACCAGTCCCCTCGTATTCTGCATATATTATATATTCTGCATATATTATGTCACTGCGAGAGAGGACAGGAAAGGAACGACCTGCGAGGGTGACAGCGGGTGAGTCCAGCTGGGAGGCAATGAGTTTAAAGAGCTATGGAGTGTCCCGCGCCCAGGAGGGCCGGTCAGAGGGAGACCTGAAGTTCAGTGAGGCCGTGGCTAGGGGTTCGGAATGAGAACCAGTGGGCTGGCGACGAGAATGCAGACCTCGGCACACAGCTGTTAGGGCCAGTGGTGGCTTTAAAATGGTGGGGCTTGGTCCTTGGATGGTTCAGGGCAGTGTGGCTGAGGGAGAGCAGCGGGAGGTGGTCTGAAGGGAGCCGGGGAGGAAGGCGATGGGAAGTGGTGGCCAACCAGCGAGGACTAGAACCAAGCTCTCTGCTTCACTCCTAAACGGGGCAAGAAATTCCATAATTTGGCCCCTTTTAAAATCTATATTTTACAGAGAAGCAGTGAATATGAAGAATATTTCAAATAAGAGAAATATATAAGGAAGCAGATGAGGCTCCTGGCTTTTCATAGCAAAGCTCAGGCCCCTGAAAGTACTGCCAGTTACACCACTTTCCACCGCCTCTTCTCCACGGGGAGCCTCGTGAAGGAGCTTTTATCAGCCGCCTGCTGTCACTGCAGCCACAGCCTGAGCAGGCAGCTGTGGGAAAGGGGAACACTTCTGTCACCTGCGTCCTGCTGAGCCCAGTCCCCCGGCCTCAGCTCGCGCAGCCGAGTCGCAGAAAGGTAGCGATGAGCCCCTGCCCCGGAGGGAAGGTCCGTGAACTTGGCAAACTTGTCGATGGCGATCCACTCGTCTTCAACAAGGCCTGCAAGGCGCGGAAGGATGTGAAATATGGTCTGAAAGAAAAGTGTAAAATCTAAACTTTCCCCCTTAAAAACATAAGAGCAAAGAAATACATAACTTTTTAAAGTACAACCTATTCTTACTAATGTATTTTCCCAAACTATCCTGTCTGGTCAAATTACCTACTTTCTGTCTTGTAGCAACTGCCTATGTGTCTGACCGGCTTTTCTAAGAACCTGGCGAGCAGCGGGTCCCTAATGCACTAACAGCCATGGCTCTGCACGAGGCAGAGCGTCTGGAGTCAGTGCTGGTGTTGGGCAGCGTCTGGACACGTGCTGTTGACCGATCACCACCTTCTCCATAAGCAACAGGTCAAGCTCTCCTGGTGCCAAATCCTCCCTTTCACTACCACTCGCTAAGCCATTTAGCCTCCCTTGGCTTCAGCCTCATTTGTAAAGTGTGGATAAAATGGGGTTAAAACAGCTCATGAAAAGTGTTTTGTAAACTGCGCAGTGTCAACAGTTTAGTCATCACGTAAACAGTCCTTTCTTTTTCTTACCTATGAGAACTGAGAACCAGGAAATCACCAAAGGTCAAAGGCCAGGAGAAGCGGAAGCACAGGTAATAGGCAAGTTTAAAATGAAACAGTAAGTTTAGATCAACATGCAAGTCTTCATAAAAGTCTTTAGAATGAATATGGTTTTCTTCATGCAACATCTGTGTACATTTAAATTAGCATCATGATTGCAACTAGATAGTAAGCGGGTACCAATACGGCTACACATGTACGAGACGGAGTCTTACACAGAGTTAGGGTTCCTACCGGGAGTGGGAGTGAAATATACAACATGAGGGGGAGGCCGTCCAAGGCAGGAAAGAGGAAAGCAAGGACTTAGTCCTGCAGGAACACTGAGTAGCAGGTGGGCAGGTGGACGTAACCTAAGACGCACTAAAGGCCCTGCAGGAAGAGGCAGGCATAGCGCCTGCGCACGAGGACACAGAGCAGAGCGGGTGAAGTATCTGAAAAACCCTGGGCAGTTTCTGCTGTGACGTAACGGAAAGCAGTTCGTGTCCCATGGCGACCATCACCGTGCAGAGCTGTATCTTTTTAAAGCGCAGGGTGTTAGTGGCCCACCATAGTTCACTGTGCACAGCAGCCAGTTTCTGCTGTGACGTAACGGAAAGCAGTTCGTGTCCTATGGCGACCATCACCGTGCAGAGCTGTAGCTTTTTAAAGCGCAGGTGTTAGTGGCCCACCAAAGTAGTTCACTGTGCGCAGCAGCTGAGACGTCCAAGTTCTTTAGAGGAAAAGAACAAGGTCGAATGTTTTAATTCAAAGAGAAAGTAATGCCATTTCTACAAAGTTTAGTCACTTAGATATCAATTAATTGATTGACTGACTAGTTGTAATAGACCTGTCTGTGGTTCTTGAAGTTCATTACATGAGCACATTCGGGAGGCGGGGTATCAGGTTCAGCCCCCAGGACCTAGACAAGGTGATTAACAAGAGTCCATCTTCTTGTTCTTTTAACAATATTCGTGACCACAGAATCTCACCTGCACAAGTGTTCTCACTCACTCCCTTTTAATGTCAGAACAGGTTTCTGTTCAGAGTTAAACACTGCCCTTCCCGTGTGTACAGGCCTGACTACCTGAGAGAGAGAGTGACAGTGACTAGCAGGCTCACTGCGTAAGCGTGGAATGAGGCAGGTCATCTGCATAAAGTGACGCAAACGCAGAACTTCACAGCGTGAATGGGAAGCAAGTGAGGGGAAAGGTGAGCTAGTTGTCACCCTTCAACAGCGATGGCAAAGGAAGTGTCAGGACTAACGATACAAGAGCATTTACACGGGACAGTCTGCTCACCTCCAGGCAGTAGTCCTGAAGCGGGTGAAATGCTGCAAAAAAGAAATGGTCTTGGATGCGCTGCCAGTTCCTCTTGGCGTTCCTAAGGGTGGAAAACACCGTGAGGCACACGCAAGGGAGGGGAATCAGACTCCTTCCTGGCTTACCCACTGCAGGGTGTAGAACGGAGGGAAAAGTGTGAGTTTTATCCTAAGGTTTACACACCTCTATCTCCAAGATTAACACACTTTAGAAACTGACGCTGCGTTTGACCTTCTGAAATGAGATGCAAAACAAGTAACTCTCTCAGTCATATGACTCACAAGAATGGGACCCAGGTCGGCACTGACATGTGGGGGGTCACTCTAGGGGTGCAGAGGCCTGAGCTCCATCCGAGGTGACGTTTCCTGTTGTCAGGTGCCCACCTGGAACGCCTGGCAGACGCCGGCCTGACAGACATGAATGCCGGGCGGAGGGGCTCTGAGGGAGCCATGTGAGGGGTCTGGGGGGACCCTTTAGCCTCTGGCATAAACACTGCTGAGGAGAGAAAAGCGTCGCCCAAGTCCCTTTTTCTGCTCTGAAGACTCAGCCAAACTGTTACCAACTCGCACAGACCACAGGTTTCCCGTGAGCAGGTCTGGGATTCCTGGCGCCCGTCACGGTGGAGAGGGTTCTCGTCTGACCAGGCGAAGCGCTGACTCAGCGCCCTGTGCTGCGGGCTAACTTGGTCGGGCAGAGGCCCGACAACATGGCACTGACTTCCATCCCCGTCCCGGGCGCCCCGTTTGCTCGTCCAGCCTCTGTGCACGGGTTTATGTAAATCAGTGAGTGCGCTGAGCATGCGAAGAGACCTTTCTGTGGACCCCTGCGGCCTGGGTCTCGGCGCTGTGTGAGCCCTGGCACTCCTGGTGGTGGGTCAGTGATGACACCGCCTTAGACACGGCAGGAAGCGATGCCTCCCCTGAGGGGCTTTGTAACACCCCGCTCACGCGCCCCTCCATCCACAGGAGCAGTTCTACAAGGTCAGGGGAGCTGCCAGCAATCCGAACTGCAGCTACACTGCACAGCTAACGGCTGTGCAGCTCTGCCACCCGGCTCTGCGCTCCCACGTGGCCTCAGCTGAGCCGAGGGCGCCGCCTGCAGCCGTCCCACCTCACCCGAGGGCTGCCGGTGCGTGCTTACCCTGCTCCCGGCGTGCTCTCCACCTGACTGAGGCTGGACTCGATCACGGACGCCAGAGCGTCCAGCTCCCCCATCCGCAGCGTCTTACACATGCCCCAGGCTTTGTTCAGCGCCACCAGCGCGTACAGGCGGACACTGAAGTTGTGGCTGAAGCCCCACTGCAGCGCGATGACCAGGGCCTGCTTCAGAGCCAGCCTCTGCAGAGAGGAGAGGAATCACTTCTTCAGTGGCCACTGGCCGTGGCTGGATGACCGCAAGGGAGACTTGGCATCACTGTGTCCCTGACGGGCTCCGGGCTCCCCACCCTCCTCCCGAGACAGATGGACGTGCTGGCACGCGGTCCCCAGAGGCAGATCCCGTGACCCTGCGGTACTCCCCACCCTCTAGCACGTGTGCAAATGAAAATAACTTAGTGTCCTATTTGTACCACGTGCTAACTTGACGGTCAAGGCAAAGACCCAACAATATGGTAGAGTACCCCGCCCGACGGGCTTGTAGCCAGCTGGACTCACTGGGAGAAATTGCAGAAACATAAGGAATATGTTACACTTACAAAAACTAGGACAAATATTAAAAGGTCTATTTTGATAGTCAAGTTTAAACTCTTCTTACAATTTAAAACTCACCTTTTCTGGAAGATTTTGAGTAATGATGTCCAAATGTGACAAAACCGACAAGAATGTACAAATGCTTGTTTTAAGGTGTTCTTCACCCTGAAAAGAAATCAGGTAAAACGTCATTCAAGGCTTCTGTGCCATCTGACATGTGGGGCCAGCAGGGGGCAGTCTCTCCCGGTCACAGCTGCAGCCCAGGTGCAGAACCAAATGCCAATACACGGCAACCAGCCAACTGCGAGGCATCGCCAACTTCCTGGGAAGTAAGTGGTGGGTGAGGGTGCTTATCTGGGGGGCGGTGAGGCCTGCAGGGTGAGCACTGGCTGGAGGGGAGGAGCCGGGGAGCAGGGAATGAACAGGCAGGCAGTGAGCAAGACCAGCAGAGACACAGAGGCAGGTAGAAGGCAGAGGCAGCGAGTGGCAAGGACAGGGCTCCGACGTTCAGGGGGACCTTGGCTTTGAAAACCCAGGATAAAAAGCCAGGGGAGATCGCTGAAGTGGGTTCAGAAACCTTCCCACTAATGGTCATTGGGAATCACATTAATTTGTGATAAACTGACGGAAGCCACAGACTGAAGAGGCTGCAGACACTGCAGCTCCGGTGGTGGAGGCGGCGGGGACTCAGTGTGGAAATCGGACTCTCAGGAGCCTGACTGTGACCGTGAGGGGGAGACTGCAGGAGGGACGAGCTCAGGGGGCAGCTCCATGGACAGAGGGTGGACACGAGTGACTTTAGCAGCCGTGGGGGCATCTGGTGAAGGAGAGACCGAGTAGGGCAGACTGAGAGCAGAGGCCTGCGCCGTAACCCATCACGATCCTGTATCAACTCCTTAGAGATGATTCGGGATGCAGGAAATGCTGCGGGGGTGGGGGGAGGGGGGTGGACGAGGGACATGGAATAAACTGATGTCTGTTCCCAGTTGGGTGAGAGAGACCCTGAAGATTCTCATTAAAGCTGCTACTTTGGTGACGTCTAAAATTTACCTACTGGAAATGTCTTTAAAGTGTAAGGAGTACACTTAATTCTTCCTCGTTCTTATTTCTAAGATCAGACACCACTTGGTAAGTAAGACTGTAGCACCGACCTATTTCCCTTCCTTCTTACTAACAAAAGCCTTTCCCATCTTTATTCTGTTAGAGCAGAAGAGCTCTCAAGGTGAGCCAGGCATGCCTGTCTCTTCAGTTAATTCCAAACACAACCTAGGATGTCAACACAATTGGGCCAGGGCGACTGAGAGTCAAGCAGCAACTAATGAAAGTGAAACAATCTCCCAGCACAGTCATCTTTTGTTAATTTAAAGAAATGGGGAAAATCTCCTTTACTTACACAAGAAAAACAATCCCAGAACTTTGGAAGAAACTGAGGAAATTTGTGAAGAATCAGTATAATAATCCATTCGATGTAATACTTGATGGATGCTTGGTTGTTGATGAAACCAGCCTGCAAAATCTTGTCAATGATTCTATTCAGGAAATTCTGAGAAAAATAAAATTCACAAATTGTGTTATGGTTATTAATGGTCTTAAATTTATTTTTACTGAAATATAATTAACATATGACAATGTATAAATTTAAGGGATAAAAATGTTGACTCGATGCATTGACATATCACAATACGATTACCACTGTGGCATTGACTAACAACTCTATCACATCACATAATTATTTCTTTTTTTGTGGTAGGAACAATTAAGATCTAGTCTCTTAGCAACTCTGAAAATGGTTATTAATTTTAACTTTAAAAAATACTGCTAAAAAAAACACAGCTTAAAGTTTCATTGTAAGTAACTCTTGGATCTACCACTCTGCAAACAACGGCCTTAAAAACTGTTGACAGACATAATGATGAGGTACTTTTACTGAAAGTTCACATTTTATGTGGACATGAATTCTGTGAGGAAGGTTTTGATTCTCGGTATTTTTACAGGGAAGAGAGAAGATTCAGAAAGGGTAAGTGACTGTCTCCAAGCCACACATCTGGTAAGCGGCCGGATCAAGATGTGCCCAGATGCCCTGGGCTCAAAACTTGCAGCCAGGATGCCAGTCAGCAGGCGGCAGACGGAGCCCAGCAGGAGCAGGCCGGGCCCCCATCTCCTTGGACGACTGCCCATCCGCCTGCCCCACAGCTGCCCAGTTCTTCTGGCCGAGACCCTAACCCAGCCGTCGGCAAACTCGCCCCATCCTTCTCTTCAGAACCGCACTTCCCTCCAAAAAAAAAAAAAAACCAAACCCTTTTTTTTAATGATGTTTACTTTGAATTTATATTAGTTCACACAAACACTCCATCCATGCTTTTGTTCCGGCCCTCCGGTCCAGTTTAAGAACCCATTGTGGCCCTCGAGTCAAAAAGTTTGCCCACCCCTGCCCTAACCCCACAGTCCTCCCCCTCGCCCCATCCTTCTCTTCAGAACCGCACTTCCCTCCGGGTAACTGAACATCTCTCGGTAGCAAGTAGAAAGCATCATCTCCTCGTGTATAAGTATGTATTATGTGTATTTATTTTAAAGAAGAAGAATGTATCTTAAAGAGCAGAAAAGCTCATTTCAAGCCCCCGTGCCGGGCTGTAAGTGGAGCGTGCGTCTGGGTTAGACCTGGTTTGGTCCCACCTTCACTGGTCACTACCTCCTAGGCGACGCCACCGCGGTGTCCGCAGTACGGACAGCCCACAGCAGGCACCTCCACGCAACCAGCTGCGGAGGATCGGGGCTGGTGGGCTCTCTAACCAAATGGCATACGACACTAGACATTACAGCATCACATTACAGTACTGAAGGGAAGAACCGTCACTGGCCCAGGTAAACCAGTTTCTGGTTTCTTTCCATAATCCCTCACTGCCTTCGCATTCTTTGTTAAAAAGTGTCCTGAGTGACTTCAATTTTAAGAACTAAGCAGATTACTTCCTCATTTTCAAATAGCAACATGACCGTCTCTACTGCACAGTTTATTCACACGGAACCCTTATGCTAAAGGTACAACTGCAGGGACCACTCACCTGGTCGAAGCGGGGGAAAAGCACGAGCAGGATCTGCCACACTCGGTTTTGTACTCGGTGCTGCTGGGAGTTCACGTAGCATCGCGTCCTGGACGAGGACACCAGTGCCTCCTGGGGTGGGGAGTCAACATGGGATCACTCGCTGAATCTGTGGCTGACGAAACAACATCAACCACAGCTTCAAACTCAGCCCCTGGTCCTCCAACCGCCAGGAAGGACAAGAAGACACTTCTTTAGTTTCCTTTCACAACAATGCATTTCGTTACTTAACTCATCTGCTTTTAAAACTAGAAAGGAGTGCCCTACCAGTTTTGCTCAATGGATAGAGCGTCAGCCTGCGGACTGAAGGGTCCAAGGTTCGATTCGGTCAAGGGCATGTACCTTGGTTGCGGGCACATCCCCAGTTGGAGGTGTGCAGGAGGCAGCTGATCGATGTTTCTCTCTCATCAATGTTTCTAACTCTCTATCCCTCTCCCTTCC